CTGCCTCGCCCAGCAGGAGCCGGGCAGATCCTTGCCCTCCTTTGCCTGGTGCTAATTAATTCCCTACAGCGAGTAACCGCGATGGGCGAGGACCACGGAGGCGTGGTGGGGGTGGCAGGCCGTCGGTCCCTCAAGCGGGCAGGGATGCAGGCGCTGCTCTGGGGCATCGCCTCCGTCGGGGCAGCCGGGTGAGGGCTCACTCTTTGCCTTTTTTTCCAGCTCTTTGACCATATTGCCGAGTGCTTGGCCAACTTCATGGACAAGCTGAAAATCAAAGACAAAAAACTCCCCCTTGGGTTCACCTTCTCCTTCCCGTGTCACCAGACCAAGCTGGATGAGGTGAGTGAAGGTCTTGCTCCCTCGTGAGGGTTGCGGCTGAGCCTGGGATGCGGCGGGATGAGAGCGAGCTCTCGCTGGGGGCAATACCTGTCTCACAGCAATTTAGCTTGTGCTTTTAATTTTTTAGGCTTGTTGGGTTTGGGTAGCACGCAAGGTCTTGGTGCTGACGGGAGCGAAGGATGGGTCCTGGGGCTCGCCGGGGTCTAGGAGGAGATGTTTAACATGCTGGTTGCTCTGTGCTTCCGCTCTGCGCGGACGCCTCCACGGGAAGCAGCGTTTCCCCCTCTTGCAGACAGAGCTCAAGGAGAGCGGCTGCAGCGGGGAGAGCGGCTCCAGCCGCCCGCAGCCAAAGGCAGCCCAGACGTGCTCAGCATCACATCCCCCGTCACGCAGCCGGTGCAGGGAGAGGGGGGGTCACCCGCCCCGGCTGCTCGCCATGCTCCGGGCAGCCGGGAATCGATGGCTGTCAGCTCCGCTCAGCTGCGCCAGCTCTCTGCCGAGAGCTGGTGACCTTGCTGGGAGACGAAACATCTCGGGAAGCGGAGCCCAGCCGAGGCACGTGGCCCCTCTCCTGCCACCCGTGGCCTCTGCCAGGCTCTCGCTCTCGAGGAGGGGGGTGGCTGGTGCTTTCCTTGCCCTTATCTCACCCAGCTTCCCGGGCAGGATCGGAAAGGAGGGCGGCTCCATGGCGTGCTGGCGATCCAGCACGTCCTCCCCGGGTGGGAACGCGGCAGCATTTTGTACCAGGGATGGGGCAAGTCGTGCTTTCATGCCTGAGCGAGTCCGCAAAAGTAATGAGGAAGAAGATTAATGCTTTTCTCTGGTAGCAGTGTGGGCTGTAAAAAAAAAAAAAACAAACCCAAACCCAAACAGAAAACAAAAACCCAAGCTGGGAGAGGAAGCATCTGTCCCTGGTGACCTTGCCGGTTTGCTTCTCTCCGTGCCTCAGTTTCACTCTCTGGAAGGCAGGGCGGGCGTTTGCCTCGCTAAGGCATCTGGGGCTCCAGGGCTGGAGATTTCAAACGCGATCGAGTCCTCGCCCTTCCCGCAAGGCTCAGCACAGCCTCCGGCTGGGTGACTGCGATGGCGCTGCTGGGTGGGGACGCACCCCGTGCCTCTGGCTGCGGGGGATGGCGAGACCCCCGTCCCGCACGGTCTGGGTCAAGGAGCTCTCCGTACAGCCGGGAACAGGTTTTGCTCCAGGGCTCCATAAAACCCAGTCACGGGAATCATGTTCCCTCCTGCCAGCAGGAACAATGAGCGACTCACGTGCTATTTCGTGGCCATAAACTTCATTTGCGCAGAGATGCGGAAAGCGTTGGTGGTACCGCAGCTTGCGAGCCGCCGACAGGGAGGGACTCGCCTGCGGTGCTGTGTGTCCGTCCAGCCCTTGCCTTGCACCGCGGAGCCCTCGAGACACGTGGCTCGGTGGGTCTCTCCTCCGAGCATTCCTTCTTGCTGTTTCTCCGTAGAGCATCCTCGTTACGTGGACAAAGGGATTCAAATGCAGCAGCGTGGAGGGGAAAGATGTGGTGTCGTTGCTGCGCAAGTCCATCAAGAAAAGAGGGGTAAGAGGTTGGGCAGGTCTGTCACCTCCTGGGGCGGCGGGACGGGGGCACACGGTTCCCTGGGACAGGACACGCACGGACATCTTGGCTCCCCCGTGACCGCAGAGATGTTTCTGTCTGTTTTGGCCATGCTGACTCAATCCCTCTCCTCTCCACCATCTCAGGACTTTGACATTGACATCGTGGCTGTGGTGAACGACACCGTTGGGACCATGATGACCTGCGGCTACGACGATCATAACTGTGAAGTTGGCCTCATCGTTGGTGAGCTGTGGCAAGGGGAGAATTGGGGTCCATCTCTCCATGAACTCCATAAGGAGATCACGTTTCTTGCAGGTTTCAGGGTCTTGTTGGGGAAAAAGAAAGGCAATAGCGATGTTAGAAAACCAGCATTGCCCAATGGTTTTTTTTCCATCTTTGCTTTCTATGGTGCATTTGGCTGTTGCTAATTATGGGTAATAAGGGAAAGGCAGCATCCTCTCTCACCACATCCCCGTGCTTGGTTCAGGTACCGGTACCAATGCCTGTTACATGGAGGAGATGAGGCACATTGACCTGGTGGAAGGGGACGAAGGTCGGATGTGCATCAACATGGAGTGGGGGGCCTTCGGTGACGACGGCGTGCTCAATGACATCCGGACGGAGTTCGACCGCGAGATAGACATGGGCTCGCTCAACCCCGGCAAACAATTGTAAGCAGATTCTTGGCTTCAGCTCAGGCTTGGGGTTTGCTCAGCATTGTCCGTCCTCCCATTGCGCTGGCGTTAGCGGGACCAAAGAGGTCATCCTAGTTAACTAGGTCACTGTGTTCGCCGCCGTGCCAGCTCCACCAATGCGAACAGGGGCTGTATCACAAATTTGGGTTGGTACGCCCAGCTGCAGCACTCAACACCTGCTTCCCTCGTGAGCCTTTCACTTCAATGTGTTGATTTCTGTTTCTTCCCCCTGCCACTGAGTTATCCGCCAGCCAAGGCAAACGCCACCACCTAATGTCCACATCCAAGTCCTACGGATTTCCCATTCCCCAGGTGGCTTCTGGCAGCACGGGTGGGATTTTGGGGGGGATCTTGGCAAACTGACAGACCCCCTCAGGTAGCCGTAAGTTCTCCTTGCAGAACAATGGTTACGTCAGCATGGCTTTATTTTCTCAGTGATGGGATAAACTACTCTGGAAGGAGATTACCTAGATTGCATTTGGGCCTGGAAGGCTGCCAAGTGTTTTTAAGGTCAACCTGTGGCCACCTCGTGGCTCACGCAGCCAAACACGCACTATTCCCCATCGGCAGGTTTGAGAAGATGATCAGCGGGATGTACATGGGAGAGCTGGTCAGACTCATCCTGGTGAAGATGGCCAAGGAAGGGTTCTTGTTTGGAGGAAAGCTCACACCAGATTTGCTCACTACCGGCCACTTTGAGACCAAATACGTCTCTGCCATTGAGAAGTAAGTAGGATCCAGATGGTTTCCTGGGGTCCCAGCCCATCTCCTGACATCTGTGCTGGGGGAAAACAGGACCCATCACAGGGCTACCCACTGAGCAACTCAGGACACTTGGATCCAGTTGGATTTCCAGGCATGAAACCTTTTTTGTTCTTTGATGTGCAGGGAGAAAGAAGGGCTGCAGAAAGCCCACGAGATCCTCACCAAGCTGGGCCTGGAGCCATCTCATGAAGACTGTGTGGGGGTGCCCCCCTACCGCATCTGCCAGATCGTCTCCACCCGCTCGGCCAACCTGTGCGGAGCCACCCTGGCAGCCGTGCTGCAACGCATCAAGGAGAACAAGGGGGTGGACCGGCTGCGCTCCACGGTCGGCGTGGATGGCTCCGTCTACAAGAAGCATCCTCAGTGAGTCCATGAGGATAGGCAAGGCTGGTGGGGAGAGAGGGCGAGAGCGCACAAATCTGTTCCTGCCAGCAGTGGATAAAGCTTGGCACAAGCAGAGCATCTCCAAATACTCCCCTGTCACCTCCGTTTGGATCCCAAAGGGGCCCCGGTCATTTACAACCCCAGAGGGTCACATCACCCGTGGTGGCATACTCAGGTCCTCTTTCCTCCTCCGTAGCTTCGCCCGGCGCCTCCATAAGACAGTGCGGAAGCTGCTGCCGGACTGCGACATCCGTTTCGTGAGGTCAGAAGATGGAAGCGGCAAAGGGGCAGCCATGGTGACGGCGGTGGCCTACAGGCTGGCTGCCCAGCACAAGGCACGGCAGAAGATTTTGGAGGCGCTCAAGCTGAGCCACGAGCAGCTGCTGGAGGTGAAGCAAAGGATGAGGATAGAGATGGAGAAGGGGCTGGGCAAGGAGACGCACGCAGAGGCAACGGTGAAAATGCTGCCCACCTACGTGTGCTCGACTCCAGATGGGACAGGTGACGTGCCATGTGTATAAGCCCACGTATGTCCCGCGTAAGGCAGAGTCAGCATCGCTGCTCCCAGCGTCTGTACCGCTTAGGGGAGGGCTGGGACCTTTGCCACGGCCAGTTCACGCCTCGTGGTGGGAGTGGCACAAAGCTTTTTAACCTCCAGCGTGATGCTGGGAAAGCGCTGAGCCTCCAGGACGTTCTGCACTTGACTTAACACAAAGCCTGGCTTTCACTGTGGTTTTTGCCACCGCAGGTTTCTCGCCACCATTGTCCTGGGTTGTGCTCCCAGTTCTGTCGGTGGCTTGTGCGTGCGCCTGCCCCTTGGCTTGAAGCCCTGTGACCTCCCCGAGTCTGGAGCAAACCCCTCCATCCATCGCCTTCCTACCTGCACCCGCTGTTCTCCATTCCCAGCCGCGTCTTGGTTTCTGTTCCTCTCCCAGGAAGAGGGCAGATTCAGATCAGCTTCGTGCCACGTTCACGATGCCCCTTGTCAGGATCTCCCTCCTAATGATTCTCTCTTGGGTTTCAGAAAAAGGAGATTTCCTGGCCCTGGATCTCGGAGGTACCAATTTCCGCGTGCTGCTGGTGCGCGTGAGGAACGGGATGAGGCGCGGCGTCGAGATGCACAACAAGATCTACTCCATCCCAGTGGAGATCATGCAGGGGACGGGCGAGGAGGTGAGGACGGGCTGCGGGAGGTGCAAAACTGGGGCATCGTCCCGGGGGGGCAGCAGAAGTGGCAGGCAGCAGCGCTGGCTGGCCACAGGACCTGGTTTTGCCTTGCTGTGCTTTCCAGGGTGCAAAGCCAGGAGGGTGGAGAAGGCTGCTGCTGTCCTGCCTTTAGAGCAGCGAGTTCTGCCCAAGGCTCTGGAGTTTGAAGTGTGCTTTAGGAGGGTTGCAGCTGGTTTTTAGGTTAGAAATAGCGTTATTCCCAGGCATCGCTGAACCTCCCTGAATCCCACACACTCCGCAAGGGCAGATAAGCATCATCCCTGTTTCCCAGATAGAGAAACCACAACACAAGCAGTAAGAGACGTCTCCAGAGTCTTATCTGCAGCTGGAAAGAGTTTTACAAACCACTCCAGGCAGTGCTCGGGGACCGGGAGTATTTCTAGCAGGAGCCAGGGCAGACGGGCTCTGGGGATACCTTGCGGAGGGACCGGATTCCCGTGTCACCCCTGGGAAGCTGGTCGCCTCCCTGCTAGCCACTCCATCCCTTCTGGGTGCAAGGGCCCTGCAAGGTGGAGGTATCACAGTGACGTGACCACATTGTTGGTGGGGAAAAGGATGAAAAAGGAGCTGGTTTGGGCTTGCTCACCTCACATGGCGCCGCTGAGCAGCGTGCTGGTCTGTTCAAAGCCCCGTTGGCTTGAGAATGAATCAGCATCTCCAGTAGGCCAGACAGGCTGGCGTCCAGCTGAGCTTCCTGCTGTGATGGTAACTTCTGCTTTTGGCTTTGTGCACCCAGCTCTTTGACCACATTGTCCACTGCATCTCCGACTTCCTGGAATACATGGGAATGAAGGGTGTATCGCTCCCGCTTGGATTCACATTCTCCTTCCCTTGCAAGCAGACCAACCTGGATGAGGTAACCCCAACCCACTGGGTAGCATGCGTGTCTGGTACCCAGGGCTGGCTGAAAAGCCACACACGCTGGCAATGCTACGTACCAGCGTTGACGACCATGTGGCAGGTCAGATAGACACCCAAGAGAGGGCGAAGGCAGGGGCTTGGAGCTGCCCGTGCTTCTGGAAAGCCCCCTTGCTGCATCAAAGCAAATGCAGATCCCTTGAGCTCTAGAGACAACCCAGTTGAGGCATCTTCCACGCGTGAGGATCCGACCTCCACGTGCCGGGCAGGGCCCAGCGAGAGCTGGTGGATGTGGTGTTGCTGTCCCTCCTGCCCAGCAGCCTGGTGATTTACCACAGGGTATTTCCACAACAGGGGATTCTCCTGAAGTGGACAAAAGGTTTCAAGGCGACCGGTTGCGAAGGAGAAGATGTGGTGAACCTGCTGAAAGAGGCAATTCACAGGAGAGAGGTGAGTGTCCACGTAGCTGTGAGAAGCCAGCTGCTTGCTCCCACACCCTGGCTGTTGCTGGCATCTTTAATTGGCCTGTAAAGCAAATTAATGGGCTGAGCACAGGGCTAATGAGTGTCTGAATTTTAACAACCACCCTTAGTCATCACTAGAGGTTGGATTTTCAGACCCCGGAGCTAAGAGCTGGCTTCTGGCCAGGGCTGGAGCAGACTTGTCTCGCCGTGAGATTTAGGGAGCCACCATGTTTGGTTCCTCAGTGCAGACCACCCAAAGCTCCTGCCCTGGGGACTGTTTCTGGCAGGGCTGTCGCAGCACGCCAGCTCTTCTGCAGTTGTGTCTTGAGGTTTGAGCATCCATCTGCAGACACCTGGGGCTGCAGGAGGTCCATGGGTGCCTGGAGGACTCCCAAGCTCAGCAGACAGGTCCCTTCCCAGTCGCAGGAGCAGACAGAGCAAGCTGCGTCCTCCAGGAATAACCCACGCAATCCCATCCCTCTGCAGGAATTTGACCTGGACGTGGTCGCGTTGGTAAATGACACAGTTGGCACCATGATGACCTGCGGGTACGAAGACCCATATTGCGAAGTTGGACTGATAGTTGGTGAGGACTGAAACTTTCTTACGGAGTTCCTCTGCCTGCTGTCCCAAACCTGCCCCCATGGGGCAGTCCTGGCTGCAGGAGGTGGCCGAGAGCTTTTATCTTGCGTACAAGCCCCACTTCTCCAACAGCCCCACTGAAAGATGCTTCTCTCTCTGCAGGCACAGGCAGCAACGCCTGCTACATGGAGGAGATGAGGAACGTAGAGCTGGTGGAAGGGGAGGAGGGCAGGATGTGCGTCAATATGGAGTGGGGGGCGTTTGGTGACAACGGGTGCTTGGATGACATACGGACAGAGTTTGACTTGGCGGTGGATGAGCTGTCGCTCAACCCTGGGAGCCAAAGGTGCGTGGTGGCGTTGGGGGGGCTGGGGAGGGACCCCCAATGAGGCTGGGTGTCCAGGAACAGTTCAGAGGTGCCCCCCAGGCTTTTGGTGGAGCAGCAGGGGATGATGAGCAGGGCAGAGCCTGGCTTTGCAATGCACTGATGTGTCCCTTGTCCCCTGCCCGCAGGGTGGGCACCGTGCTGCTGGACTTGCTCCAGGGTGTCGGGCCAGGGGCTTGCATCAAAGGCACCTGGCAGAGCTGGGACCCCGACCCAGTGTCCCTTCTTGTCCTGATGTCCAGCCTTGCCCTCTCCTTCCCAGGTTTGAGAAGATGATCAGCGGGATGTACCTGGGGGAGATCGTCCGAAACATCCTGATAGATTTCACCAAGCGAGGGCTGCTCTTCCGGGGACGGATCTCAGAGAGGCTGAAGACCACAGGGATCTTTGAGACCAAGTTCCTGTCCCAGATAGAAAGGTGAGGCCCAGCAGGTGGGGCGAGCACCAACTCTGGCCTTACAGCTGCAGATCAGAGCAGAGATGTAGTTTGGGGAAAGCGTTCCCAGGGCTTGTGGGAGAAGTCCCAAGCAGCCAGTCTGGAGCCAGGATGACATTGGGTGGTGCAATGCAGATAAGTCAGCAAAATCCACGTGGTTCTGGCAGCGCCGGTGGTGAGAGACAAGGAAGCTGTCTGGGGTTGGCAACACAGACGCCTCTTTATCCTCTGCCCTGGACAGGGAGTGGCCACAGGTTAAATAACTGCCAAGCTCCAAGTCAATGGCTTTGTCCTGAAATAGCCTCACCGATTAGGATGCGACATCGGAATCGCATCCAGGTCTGGAAGCTGAGGTTAAAGGGGAGCTGTAGAGTCCCTGCGGTCACTGTCACCCAAGCCACGAGTCCCCGGGCTCTGCAGCATGTAGATAAGAAAGGGGAAGCCACGCATCCAAGTTGCCTCATCTCCTAACGCTGCCTGGCCCTTGTTCTCCCCAGCGACTGCCTGGCCCTGCTCCAAGTCCGCTCCATCCTCCAGCATCTCGGCCTGGAGACCACGTGTGACGACAGCATCATCGTGAAGGAGGTGTGCACGGTGGTGGCCCGGCGGGCAGCTCAGCTCTGCGGGGCTGGCATGGCAGCTGTGGTGGACAAGATCCGGGAGAACCGCGGGCTGGACTTCCTCAAGGTCACGGTCGGCGTGGATGGCACGCTCTACAAGCTGCACCCTCAGTGAGTTGCTCAGTAGCACGCGGTGGGTGGGCGGCTGTCCTCCAAGGAGGCTCACACTGGTGCATCTGCCCACCTTGGTGGAAAGTATAGCAGGGTGGCCAGAGAGGAGGTATTTCAGGGTCTCGAGAGCTGCCAGTACCTTGCTGACCCAAACTCTACAAGGCAGAGCGAGAACCAGCTGCTCCCGAAAGGATGGGGAGCCAGGAGCAGTAACGCAGCAGGGCCCTCACACCAGCCAGGGCCCATCCCGCAGTGCCCGAGGCCACATTGACCCAGAGATGGCAACCAGGAGCCCAGGGCCCATCCTGCAGTGCCCGAGGCCACATTGACCCAGAGATGGCAACCAGGAGCCCAGGGCCCATCCTGCAGTGCCCGAGGCCACATTGACCCAGAGATGGCAACCAGGAGCCCAGGGCCCATCCTGCAGTGCCCGAGGCCACATTGACCCAGAGATGGCGACCAGGAGCCCAGATCATCAAGAGAAGGATGAGACAGGTCTACACCAGGAAGTCAGACCATGATCTGGATTGAGAAGGTCTGCAGCCAAGCAGGACTAGGACTGTGCCTGAGCTGGAGGCTGGTGCTCCTCAAGCCAAGGCAGCTCAGAGAGGGGCTGAAGGCACAGGGCTGAGCTTAAATAGGGCTCAGGGGCCCGTGGGAAGAGGGGGGGCTCTGAAGACCCCCCCCAGGTGAGGCTGGTCAGGGCTGTTAAAGTCTGTTAGTGCTCTCAGGGCTTGGTGGGACTGGAGAGGGGGCTGGATTCTGTCCTGAGTGGAGGGAGACCATGAGTGCGTGGTGCTAACTGTGAACTTGGGCTGAAGCGTGGAGATTTGTGCTTTCCGATGCTTCCTGCCTGGCGGCTTTCTCTCCATCCATCTTCTCCGTGCCTGTAGCACTGTTTGGGTCGCTCCTGAAGGCAGCTGCGATGATGGGCGTTCAGGGGTTTGTTCCCTGGGGGGCTGGCACCTTCAGCCCCAGGCAAGTTAAATCAGCATCTCTTCCTTCCCCCCCCCGTGCCCTACAGCTTCTCCGCCGTCATGCACGAAACCGTGAAGCAGCTGTCTCCGAAGTGCGAAGTGACCTTCCTCCAGTCGGAAGACGGCAGCGGCAAGGGCGCAGCGCTCATCCCGGCGGTGGCCTGCCGGATCCGGGAGGCCGGCCAGCGATAGAAGGAAGGAGGTTTGCCGAAGAGCTTGGTTTCAGCAAAACAGGATGTTTCCCCACCCGGTCCCTCCCTCCCTCGGTACACACACACACACGTGGCCTCCCCTTGCGAGCAGACTCTTAGCTTTACTTGTTCTCTTGAGATACCACCAGTGGGACTGGAGATGCTGTGTGCTTTGTATAAAGAGTTGTCTTAGGAGTTTTATTGCATGCCATAAAACCGCGTATCAAGTAAAGCTAAAAGTGTCTTTTGGCTGTCTACTGCATTTCCAGTTAGAGCTGGACCTGTTCCTCTTGCAGCCTACGTCAAACACCAGCTCTCCTCCCCACAACTCCTAACCACTCTCGCATCTTCCCTAGCAGCAGAAAGGATAATGCTAGAATAATTAAGACGCTGCATTGTCACTTTACAGTAACTGGCACCTATTTATGTATGTTGTAGCTGTAGCGTGTCCGCGCTGTAGAAAGCAAACCTCTTTAAGATTGGGCTAAAGACCTCCATTAGTCTTTTACCCTGATCAAGGCTGTATTATTTCCATGAAAGTCATGGTAACTCTTAAAGCACAGGGTGCAGAATTTCAGCCGGCGTGTTCCGAGTCTGCACTGAGAGATACCAAGTATCTCTGTTGGTGAGCAATATTAAAGAACCTGCTGGATCCAAGTTGGAGGTGCCCCTTTAACTGCTCCAGCAGAGCACGTGCCTGGAAATAATTGGGGACTCAGGGTCTAATCCCATTTCCCGACCTCTCACCCGCACCCTAAATAGAGCGTAGTAATGTGGCACCTGCATAGGGTTGCGTTACACCCCCGGAAACCACTAGCACCCTTCCCTGGCATGTGCGGACACGAGGAGCCACGGGTCGGCCTCTGCCCCGCAAACACCCCCCCCAGGCGCCGTGGCCATGTGTCCACGCTTGGCGCGGTGAGTTCGGTTTGCTTTTTGTCTGTGAAATAGTTCTGCATCTTCAGCCTTTTAGGTGACACCTGGATTTATACACTGTATATTTATGTTTCAAGAGATCTTACATCTTTTCACGCATGTAGTCTTGGGGGGGGGGGTATGTTGCTTAGTTTTGATTTCACCTTTTAATGTCATTTAAGAATGGTACAGAGTACTTTTTTTTTTTTCTTGTGTTATTTTTTTAATTTAAAGTTTTCCTGGGGTAGACTGGAGAGAGAAAGACCCAAATTTGGTTTGGGCATTCTGGATTTATCACCAGAACAAAAGGGAAACCAGAGAGCCGGGGACGCGATGCACGGGGAGCAGCGGGGCACCGCAGTGAAGCTCTCAGGATTGGGCTGGTTTTAACCTAAGGAGAGGTTTTATTTCGTCCCCAG